CGTCTTCTTTCCACATTTCAGACTAACGGATGCTTCGTTCGTGATTTGAAATCGAGGATATACAGACTTCATGGGTAAAAGTTAAAAGTTGTCCAAGTTAACACGAACGAAACGGCAAATAACAAATTACGAATGATAAATTTCGAATCGCGAATCGCGCGTTTTGTGTCGCGCTAGCTTTAGGAATCGGATCTGCGAACGGTAGAAACGAATGCGCCGGAGAGCAGCGGAAGGATTGCGCAGCGACAAATGTGTCTGTATGCAGATGCGTCTGCGTTTTGTGATTGCCGGCGCTATCCGCCGTCTCGCGCTCGCGGGAACCAGAGGCGTTTCAACCTGCGTCGCGTCGCAGAGGAGCGGCTGGCGAAACAATGTGGCTTTTGTGGGGCAAGGAAACGGCGAAGCCCGCCTAAAGAGAAAAGCTAAGAGCGATTGAAATACGCTCGCATGTCCGCCTTTCTTCCATGGTTTCACCCCCTCGGCCTCTCTCTCGGGGCCCTCGCCACTGCGCTCGCCACCGTTGTTTCCGCGCCTTTTATATTTTGTATTACAATAAGCGGAATGTGTACGCGCGCCCGTGCAAGTGTGAATTCATATAGAATAAAAACGCCTCATGGGGAGGAGGAAGGGGGAAACGGGGAAAAGTTGCCGCGATTGGGGAACAAAAATGCGACGTGATCTTTAAAAGGGAAAATTTCAGCGGCGCTTCTGCCGTGTATACGGCTCACGTGCCTCGCGTCTCGAAAACACGCGCGTCCTGCGCTAAACTCCACTAGATTTACGGGCATGAACTTGAAGACCGCGTCACTCACGCGCGGCGAACGGCCGAGGGAGGCTGCGGCGTGGGGGCGGGGGATTTTTGCGGAGGGGCGAGAGGCAGGGTAAGAGCAAAAGAATGAGAAAGTAACGACGGGGGGGATGCTGGCGGGAGGACGGTGCGTCCGGCGATCGGAGGGGGGGGGGATGGGTATGTGTCGAAGAAGCGAGTATTGAGAGATGGGTGGGATGAGGGGGAGCAGAGGGAACACATAGGGAGGCGGCATGGGTGGTTGCAGGTTGGTAGTCAAGACTGCCTTCAGATTTCCAGAGTGAAGCATTGTGTTCCGAAGGCGCATTGTCCTCCCGTCGGCGGGAACTCGACAATGCCGAGTCCGTAAGTTAGTAACCCTACCGTAAAAACTTATCTCCGCCCCCGAACCACACCGACCTCCGCAGCCTCCGTGATTCCGTTCGATTTCCAACCTGCCTTCCCCTCCCTCTCCTTTCGCCACCCCCCGGCCCCCTCCCACCATTTGGCGCATTCTCCTGGGCCCCGGCGTTCCGGGGAACGTGCATCTTTCTCTCCTCTGGCTTCCTCCCCTCCCCGCCGCCCTTTTCAGATTACGGCAGAACAATTCCGCGCCGCGGTTCTGACGTCTTCCTTCTTGCGGAATCAAGCCAACCGTCGCGTAGCGAATTCGTTCCTCGCGGCTAAGAACGGGCATCCCCCCCCCCCCGACCGGTCCGTTTCCTTCGCCGCGCGAGTACCTTCAAATCGCGCTCCAACGGACGACCGGTCCAGATCGCGCTCTGCATCCGTAAAAAGTATCGGAGGTTCATTTTTTTCGAGAATTACGACTGAGGAAACGAAAGGGAGGAAAAAAAATCGTTCTTCAACGTTGCCTCGCGCGTTGCTGCGATTTTCTCACTCTTACGTTTCCGACAACGCGCAACGCGAGCGCGTCTTCTTAGCGGCTCAAGTTCCGACGACGGCAACTGCGAGGAGCATTCGCGATTCCCGCGCACCCAATGACGTGCGTTAATTGTATCGACGATTCACGAGGTATCGCGGGGAGCGAAGGCGCACAATGGGGCACACGGCCCGCCGTGATTCCGAGAGTCGGAAGTGAGCGTTCCGGGGAGCGGATACAAGCATCAGGGGTTGGCGGGTGGCCCTCTGCGCTTCTCCCACCCCCCTCTCTCACTCTCTCTCTCTCTCTCTCCCGTTCGAACTCAAGTTGCCGGCCGGCCGGACAGCGCTCGGTCGCCGGACAAAGCTCCTCTAATTGTCCCTATCAGCGACGAAGAATGGACGGCGGGGCCTGCCTCTGACAATTTCATTTGTAATTTGCATAAGGCTTATTAAAATCACAATGAGCGAGGAGCCGCGCCGTCGCTGCGCCGCGTCGCGCGGCGATGACCGACGATCGCGGGGCCGACACGCCGATACCGGCGCGTCCCGCGTAATCTTTCTCAGCGCCGCTTATATCGGGGGCGGAGGGTATAATCGCGTTAGGTCGAGTGATCGCCGGTTGTGCGAGGCTAACGCTTTTTTCGCGCGTAGGTCCCGTGCAATGATCTTGTACTTAAAATAATCTCAAGTGCAGGAGCATCGCAGAAAAGTTATACATTTTAACATCGATACCGTACAATAAACGCAACTGAGTTAACGGACAATTGAGACACAATCGTCCGAAAATAATTAAAAGTTCGATGTCGCACACGTATTTTCGTTAAAAAATTCTGTAAAAAGTATATAAACTAGGGAGGCTAGAGATAAAAAGGGATACTTTGCTGTGTGAGTTAAGACTTAAGGGAAATTACCAATGACTGTCGACAACGAAAATCCCGATTGGTCGAAATTCTTAAGTCTCAAGTCTTACTGCTTACGTTTGTTGGTGTGTTTCCAGCTTTAGGCTAATATTACATTTGTCGTACGACAAATTTTTCAAGCGTGTTGATTGGCTGCGGGATAGTAAACTTCTCGAGTATCTAGAAATTTTCTATTCAGCAGCCAATCAACTCGCTTGAAAAATTT